CGCCGCCCTCCTGCCCGCTCCGCGCCGCTCCGCGCCGGCCCGCTCGTTCGCGCTCCAGTTGCCTTGTCCTGCAGCGGGGGCCCAGCATGGTCATGGCGGATGGCCCGAGGCACTTGCAGCGCGGGCCGGTCCGGGTGGGGTTCTACGACATCGAGGGCACGCTGGGCAAGGGCAACTTCGCCGTGGTGAAGCTGGGGCGGCACCGGATCACCAAGACGGAGGTGCGGCTCCGGGGTTCGGCGGGAGCGTGGCGTGGTTGCGCCCCGGGCGGCGGACGGCGGGCCTGGCACTGTGGGGACCGCGGGGTGCAGGTCGGCGGGGAAAGGGGGGGGGGTTGTCCCTGGGAAGCCACACTGGCTTCCGTCCCGAGCCTCCCACCCGGGGACCTGGTCTGTGGCCTCGGCTCCCAAGCCCAAGTTCCGCGTCTTCCCGGCTTTCGGCTGGGGGTGGGGTGGGAGGGGAAGTCTCGGTACTCCGGGGCCGCGCGGGGACCAACGTCGCCGGCGGGAGAAGGGGACCGGCAGCTCCCGGACTTGGCGGACGCGGCGCGCGGCCCGGACCAGGAGTCCCTCGCTGCTGGGCGAGGAGGGGGCGCCGCGGACCCGACCGGTGCGGACGGACCGCTGTCCATTTTCTCCGCTTTGGGCCCGCAGGGTCTCTGATTCGGTGCCTGACTGGCTTGATCCCTTGCCGGAGGTGTATATCTAATACTCCAGACAATAGAACTGGTTAAAAATGGTCATCTCAGCTCTGCACCGTCGTCTGGGGTTGTCCCTTTACCAGGTGTGCATACTGGCTCCAAGCACGCATTCCTTAAGCCAGCCACATCAGATGGACTCCTCAGAAAGCCCTCAACTGCTTCCTTGCAGTGACTCCAGCATCCCCCTCCATGGAGCATTCTAATGCACCGCACATATTTTCTCCCCAAGTCTCTGTTCTTACCTAGCCCACCCCCTTCCTTCTATTGCCTCAAGCTGCTCTCCTCGGGGTCTCTATTTTAAGACGTGCAAATTAAATACCTTGGAAAAAACGATCGAAACAAAACCGGTTTTTAGACTACAACCTAGTGGTTTTGACGTACTCTATTCTGCCTTGTGAGTGCCACTGTAGTTTCACAGGTTTTCATTTTCTCTCCCCAGATTTCATCTCGTCCGGGTTTTTTCCCTAGTACGTTCTTAAGAACGTTCTAGCCTTTTAATGTAGAACTTTTCTCCCTAGGATGACTTACGTAAGGTGAAGGGCATTTAAAAGCCTGAGTGTTTTCTTAGCAGTTGCTCTTAAGAAGTTTTGCTTCATGTCCCTTTTCATAAAGGAAGATATGTCTGACAGGTCTTCACTTTTTGTTTTGCCTCACGGACCACCTAAATCTGACTTCTTTAGGGCATCAGTACCAAGGTCAAAGTTTTTCCTTTCATAAATTTACCTTGTTATGAATCTAGATTGTTTGTAATGATAATATGAGTATATTGACGTTACCAAATTTTTACATAGCTTAATATGATCCCGGCACTTTTTTTAATGAATATAGTTGTTTCGTTCTTGTAAAGAGCTATGGCCAAATTGTCGTACCTTTGCCTCTGTGTTAAATAAAAAGGAAATATCTTAAATTGGTATCTTTTTTAGTCCTTTTCAATGACTGTCAAAAATGGCACATTTACAGAGAGTCTGTGAACTTTTTGGTTATATTGTTGTGTGGTTGGATACCAAATCTGATAGTTCATTCTATTTTTCTTATTAGCAATATTTGGTGGTCAGCTCTTATTTGCCAGACAGAGTTGAGTTAAAGTGGTATATGAGAGCTGTTTAAGCAGAGCTCATGGTAACTGACACTCTTAAGGGTCACAGTCCTCATGGTGTCCCTTTCAAACTGATATTTCGTAGGAAGCAAGCTAGGGGGCACTGTGGAGTAACACTGCCTGTGACTGTCAGGTCACATTTGATTGAAGACACCTGTCAGATCATGGCAGAGCTTGCAGATCCTAAAGTGTGTGTGTGTGTGTGTGTGTGTGTGTGTGTGTGTGTGTGTGTGTGTGTAGGTGTGTAGGTGTAGTATATGTGTATAAAATTATTTTATGTTAAAAGCTAAAAGTTTAGCCTAGAGATTCCTCTTCCCTCGTGCTGTTCTATTTTTACAGTGGGCAGGTATGAGCATTTTGTGGTAGCTTTGTGATTGCCGATACTAAGGCATAGAAAGATGAAATGGTATAGCAGTTCTGTAAGGAAGTCTTTGTGGATGTTTCAGTTTGCAGAGTGTTCTCTGAAGTTTTATAGGGAAGTTTCATGAAGACTTGCTTAGTAAGAGCTTGGATTCAGTTTCTAAAAGTATAACATTTGTTTTCAGTGAGTTTTTTCTTTAGGAATAATTATTTTTTATTTACTGAATATTTGTATCTGATAAATAGAACCACCATAAAATAGTGAAAATTTTAACTCTGACATTATTTTAGATTATCACTGCTTAATATACTATATCTAGTTAATTACAGTGAGAAGTTAATATAGTATAAAGAAAACTTTTAGCAAATATGATTGTGTTTCCTGCTTATGGAAACTCCTTTATATACTGTATTTTAGCATTGTAGTTTTATGTGTTTTAGAAGAATCATTTTGTGTGTGTGTGTGTGTGTGTGTGTGTGTGTGTGTGTGTGTGTAAGAGTGAACATGTTGGTCAGAGGACAACTTGCAGGAGCTGGATCTCTCCTTCCACCATGTGGGGGCTAGGGGTCAAACTCAGATAATCAGGGTTGGAATCAAGTGTCTTTACTCTCTGACCATCTTGACACCCCCAAGACAAATCTTAGGGCTTAATTTAAACATTCAAATCATGAATACTTTTATTTTTTATTGGCTCTTCATCTTCTGTTCCATATCAATCATGAAAACAAAGGTATATATTTTTGTAGTGCTTGGGAGAAGTCTGTTTCCCTTTTAGAAAAAAAAATAGTATACAAAAGAGACATTAATTTTGGTCTAAGCTATCAAATGACTTAACACCAAAAAATATAATTACGTCATCTGAAGCAGTATTATTCATGTGCTAGCGCTCTGTAAATTTTGCACACAAAAGGGAAGGCAAGGGGGTGGTAGAATCCAGCTTCCTAATATAATACTTCATAAAATCTTTGCAGAGCTGGTTTATGAATTACAGAAGCTAATTTTATAAAATTAGCACAATGGGAAAAGAATAACACCATTTAGGCTATTAAACTATTTTGGGCAATAGTGGTTGCTAGTTTTCTGTTCTATGAATGTCCTTGAGTAGTGTTTCATAAATACTTTATTAGGAACAACTTTTCCCGTCTAGTTAACTGTCGAGTTAGTTCGAGGTGGGGTTGTTTGTTTTGTTTTTGTTGGTTTTGGTTTTTTTTTTTTTTTGGTCTAAGTAAAATTCTAGGAAAATTACTTGTATCCGTAAGCACCCCATTTTCTATTAAAGAATGTTTAGTACAGCAAATATTAAGAATAAAGGAGAGCATGGTACACCAAGAGTATATAGTTTCTCCGCAAGTGAGGGAATACATTGTTCTTAACATGTCACATTGCCTTTTAGTATTTTTAATGCATTGTTTTTTAGATGACAGCACATGATCCATGTCTGTGCCCACACATTTTGCTTATTGTATATAACTTTATAACAGCGTTTTAGTAGGTTAGTATTCTACCTTGTACATAACCCATTTTACTTAGGACTCTTACTGAATATTTTATCATGTCCAGTTTTCAACAACTGACAGGGAACACAATTGTGTACATAGTCAGTGTCTGTGTCGTAAATATTTTTAGGGAGAAGAAATTGCCAGTAATTTTCAGAAGACAAATGACTAAGTGAGAAGATATAATTTTTACATTTGAGAATTTGTATTACTTTATCATGTTTATTATTGAAAATTTTAAAAGTACAGATAAATGAAAATAATTACCTATACTGTCAGTACCCAGAGATAACCATCATTATTATTTTTCTTCAATACCATACTTATTGTGTTGCTACCTCTGAAGTCATATGAAGGGAAATGTTTCAGAAAGTTACCTTATTCATGGCCTTTAGGGGTTAGGCTGCTTACTTACCCCTGAGAGAACTGGACTCAGAATGATTGTCAAAGCCTGTCCGAAAACTTCCTTTGTGCACTGAAAAGTTTACTGTGTGCATTCTGCAAGTTGGATGTTCAGGCATAATTCACAGACCTTAAAGTGTAGAATTTCTTAATGCTTTCCAAAAGCAAAGTTCAAAATTATGTTTTTATAGCAAGGGTAGAACAAAAAAGGTGTATTAACCCATGAGCGTGGTATTTTTTTTTATAATTAATTTTATTTAAAAAATTAATGTGCAATGGTGTTAGATCCCCTGGATCTGGAGTTAGAGACAGTTGTGAGCTACCATGTGAGTACTCGGAACTGAACCTGGGTCCTCTGGGAGAGCAGCCAGTGGAGCCCTCTCTCCAGCCCCTGGCATGGTATTTCTTTAAGAGGTCTTTTAAATACAGTTGGGTTTTAAACTTTGTTTTGACATTCTACAACTCTTTTCAGTAGCCTTGGTATTAGTCTTATGCTGCAAAAATACTCCAGATTTCAAGAAGTAGCTGTAATAGGAGGACCTGTGGCCAGATACCTTAGCCACTAACATTTGAATCTAGGCTTGTATGTGATCTTCTCTTGGATATTGAAATAGGACTCTGATTTGACATTGGACTGTTCTCTAGTTTCTTGGTCCTCAAACAAGTAATAACTGGCAAATTGTTTTTCTAAATATTATTAAAATCATCTCTTCTTTTGGGGAATGGAAAACAAATATTCACAGAGCTGTATAAATTTTCAATTTTTAATTGTGTGTATGTGTGTGTGTGTGTGTGTGTGAGAGAGAGAGAGAGAGAGAGAGAGAGAGAGAGAGAGAGAGAGAGAGAGAGAGAGATAGATAGATAGATGTGGGGAGGGATATGTGCATGCGATGGCACCATGGCACATGTGGAAACCAACAGACAATTTTGTAGATTCGGGTCTCTCCTTCAGCTTTTACATGGGTCCTTGGATTTGAACTCGGGCCATCAGACTTAACTAGCAAGTGCTTTTACCCACTAAGCTGGTCCTGAATTGTGTAAATTTCTCTGCTCTGTAGAAATTTTTAACTTTAACAGAGTTTAGTGTGTTCTGATTTTAAGTTCTCTAAGGAATTCTATCTTGGCACCAGGCAATTAAGAAAACATTTATTTGGAAATCATGAAACTGGCTTCCTTCGACTCACATGATGACATTTGAATTATGACCCACTGCTGATTACAGCATCCTTGGCATCAAATGGATTACAAAATTCCTTATGGTACCTCTTTTTCCTTTTTTAGTAGACCTTTCACCTTTCCTCCTACATCTTTTTTAAGCAATTTCTGTAAAAGTGTTTTCATTTAAATATTCACATAAAATACTTTCTATCGTTCAAAGAGAAATATTCTTTATATCTAATTATGATAGTTAAAAGATTGGAAGACAAAGGGGAATTTCATCAGAAACTATTTTAAAATATTTAAAGTTCTTTAGACACATTAAGAGATGCATCTTTAGTAAATTAAACTAGGAACAATCCTACTATGTTTTAAGTTCTTAAAAGTAAACACTGTCCACACAGTTCTGCCCAGTTACAGAAGTTAGGCCTGCTCATTATATAGCCATTGGGGAAAAGCCTAGAGAAGAAACTAAAGATTCTCACTTCTGCTCTCAAAACTCAGGAAATGGAGCAGACCCTCTTAATTCACTTGTATTTTATACGTTTGCAATATAATAGATGTCACTGTGCATATAACCTGTGTGTTTTATTTCACTTGTTATTAACATCTCCAAGTTTAAAAAAAAAATCTAAGCCAGTGGTTCTTAACCTTCCTAATGCTGCAACCCTTTAATACAGTTCCTCATGCTGTGGTAACCCCAACCATAAAATTACTTTTATAACTATAATTTTGCTATTGTTGTGAATTGTAATGTAAATATCTGATGTGCAGGATGTGTGATATACAACCTTTGTGAAAGGATCGCTCTACCACCCCAAGGAATTGTGACCCACAAGTTGAGTATCACTGCCTGAGGCAGCATTAGGAGGCATCTTGCATGTCACTGACCATATTTTATTTACCTAATTTGCTATTACTGAAAATAAAGTACTCTAAGTGCAGTACTCTGAGTGTTCCATACATTTGCATACCTGGTTGTTTCCTCAGAGCAGTTCCATCACAATGGAATTCTTGGATGGAAGAGTCCATCCATTACCTGTCTTATGTATGGCCTGAGATGCCACAATACCCTCCCTCTACAAAAGGTTTAATTACCATTAGGAAGAACACTTTAAGGAATACTACTCTATTGGGTTCTTTTTTTACTTTTATTTTCCAGTAGACAAAATTGCTTACATTTTCTTTGCTTTTTTAATTTGTATTTCTTGGATTACTTTGATTGTGGTATTATGTGATGGCTATTTGCATTTCTCTTGTAAATAGCTTTTGTTGGTGGTGTTCTTTGGCTCTCTTTTAATTGCTTTGTCTTTTGTTTTAGAATTGTTGAAACTTTTTAAAGTGGAATGTTATTTTGAATCACTTCTTTTATAGTCTTAAAAAGTCTCAGTTCATATAATTATTTTCAGCTGTTTGTATTTTTGTATTTAGTGATACATTTAATTTATTTACATGGAAGCCCTTGTCATTAATTCAGATTATTCCCATTGGGTTCTTTTTCAGCACCAAAGTCCTCAGGCTTAGTGGATATGTGATTTTTAAGGACCTTTATAAAGACTGTTGAGTTGCTTCCTAGGAAACTTATAATCTATTCATATTCATACCAAATTTCTACAAAAATGACTGTCTCATCAAAACTTAGTTTATGTAGGCATCTACTTTTTGCTAATATAAAGGTGAAAATGGCATTTTTTGTTTTAAATTCACAGTTTCCTGAGTATGTCTATGGTTGAATAGTCAGCTACTTTATATAGGCTCTAAAGTGATAGTCTTTCTGATTTCTTATGTGTGTCATCCTGCTTTAGAGAGGAAGCCTTGCTTTTGCGGAAGGAATACTATTTTTATTGCTGTAAACCCACTTTGTTTTTAAAAGACTGTGTTTATAATGGAGTTAAAGAGTTAAATGATTCCATTAACAACAAAGAGGTCTTTCAGTTAACGGAATCATTTTGACCTTCTTGTCCTAAGTTTAGAACTATTAAAAAGTAGGGAGTGGTATGCAGAGAAAGTTTCTACTTACCTTTGAAATAAACAGAGACTTTAAGTATGCCTTTGAGAAATTCCAAAGTTGTTTTTTTTTTTTTTTAATCAGTCATTCTCACAGACATGATCAGTTCCTGGAGAATAGGAATCCTGTCTGATTGTTTCTGTAGCTGAGGGATAGTATTTGGCATACAATAAATGTGTGATGAGTGAACTTTTTTAAATAGCAAGGAGATTGAATTTGGAATAGAAGACATGAGGTTGTAGTATCTGTCTGTCTGTCCCCTCACTCACCTTAACTTACTAGAGCTTTAGAACCTTTGTAGATGATGTGACTTTCTTCTTTTGGGAGATGAGTGGAGCCAAGAAAGGTTTTGGGGTTTGGACAGAGGGCCTCATGAATGCTAATGTGTAATGCCTTTTGAATCTCAGTTTCATCAGCTTCCACTTATCCTACTTCTTCCATGTATTTGACAGAATTGAGAGATAAATGAGATAAAATGCATTGAAGTGTCTTGTAAAATTAAGAAGTGTTATGCCGTTGGCAGAGCCACCGCCATTATTACTTCATTTCTGAGAAGTTCTTGGCAAAGAGCTCCGTCAAGCTCAGCAGAGATCTTGTGGATCAAAAATCCCACTCTTACATCTGAGCATTAGCTGGGCTGTTTCTGTGCCCCATACATTTAGATGTGGTTATGTGACTGAGTTCTAACTAATGAAATGAGTGAGGCCTGCCCATCAAAATCTCCCAGGAGGACCTTTGAGAGCTTTTTTCTCTTTTCTGGTCAGAATGGAGACAACCTTCAGAGCAACTTTGGCAGCCATACCTTAAACATAGGAAAGCCTTTTTAAGCCACATATGCCTACTAATAATTCCACCCATCTTAGCCTGCTATAAGATCAAGACATAAACTTTTGTTGTGCTTGAATCATTATAGTGAAGTCTGTTAAAGCAGTTAGACTGCCCCTGCTACAAGGATCCTGGAAACACATGCCTTTCTTTTTTTTTTTTCCTATTTTTTTAAAAATATCTTTATATTATAATTAACTTAATTTCACATATCAGCCATGGATTTCCCCATCCTCCGTCCTCCCTCCTCCCACTCCCCAGCCCTCCCCCCAATCCAGCTCCCATTCCCACTTCCTCCAAGGCAAGGTCTCCCCTGGGGAGTCAGCCCAGCCTGGTAGACTCAGCCAGGCAGGTCCAGTCCCCTCCTCCCTATACCAAGGCTGAGCAGAGTGTCCCAGCATAGGCCTTGCTTTAGAGAAGCGTAATCCTCCTACAGTTGTCATACATAAGGAGTAGTGGTGTCCAACTCCACTTCCAGGAGGCCCAGTGGCTTCTGACTTCTGCAGGCACCTGCATTTACATGATGCACATGTACACATTTTCAAAATTAAAGCTTGAGTAAAATATATGCACAGAATTTCTTAATAAAAATAACTATGCTTTTTGTTTGTTTGTTTGTTTGTTTGTTTTGAGACAGGGTTTCTCTGTGTTGTTTTGGTGCCTTCCTGGATCACGCTCAGTAGACCAGGCTGGCCTTGAACTCACAGAGATATGCCTGGCTCTGCCTCCTGAGTGCTGAGATTAAAGGCGTGCGCCACAACCCAGCAACTATGCTATTTTTTATGTAATTTCCTTTCTCTCAAATTCTGTTATATGATTTTGACCTATCTTCTAATAGAAGCTTCTTGTTGGTGAGAAAGGTGCTGATATCTAGACTTCCGAAACTGTAGAAAAGACATTTCCTTGAAACATGATGTCTGAAACTCCATGTTACCTTCCTAAAGAAAGTTGAAATTCCAATGTGCCCTTGCCCTTTTATATGGGCAAGTTTTTATAAAAGTTACCTGAAGTAAGTGATCATCCTGGATTCTGTCATATCTTATTAATAAGAATGGGGTCCCTTTAAATGTGTGGGTTGGAGGAAGTTCACTCACAAGGTTAGAGACACTTGCTTCTCATAGTGAGCACAGTATTATCACCATCAGTCCAACAGAGGCTAAGCAGTGTTTGGAATTCTGTCTGCTAGAATGTAAAGAGCACTTTAGAATTGCCTCAGAACTTACTAGAATTCAATATGGGGAGTTTCCAATTACCAAATATCTTATTTAAATCAGATTACCTTATTCCAAATCTATGAATTTCTAAAAGTTAATCCTCTTTAGTTACTTGGGGAAAAAAAACCATACAATTGTTGTTTCTGAATACTTAATCATTCACCTGCAAATTCACCTTCTTTGGATTCCTGTTTAGTTATGACAGAATCAGATCACATTTTCTGAAGTTAAACTCTTTGAAAGTTAAAATTAATATAGTTATTCACATTTGAAGTTTTGTGTTTTATTTTGTTAGTAAGTTTTATTTCAATTGATATTACTTCACATAGATTAGTTTTAATATTTTACATTTCAGGTTTTTTTGTTTGTTTTTTTTTTTTTCAAAAATGTACTTTAGTGGGGAGGATCGGGAAGGAGTTTGGGCAGGGAAAAGAATATGATCAAAATATATTGTATGCCGGGCGGTGGTGGCGCACGCCTTTAATCCCAGCACTCGGGAGGCAGAGCCAGGCAGATCTCTGTGAGTTTGAGGACAGCCTGGGCTACCAAGTGAGCTCCAGGAAAGGCTCAAAGCTACACAGAGAAACCCTGTCTCGAAAAACAAAAACAAAAACAAAAAAAAACCAAAACTCTGCCAGACAAAAATCTATTGTGCATTATAAATAGAAGATTAAGAAATGTGTGTTACATAAATGAACATTGAGTTAAGTTTGCTATCAGTGTCAGACACCTGCAGGCGGCATCTCAGATAGCATTTGCTAAGTCTTGACTGGAGGATGTTGACCATTGTATATTAATTGTGTCTATGTGTGTTCTGGGCTACAGGTGGCTATAAAAATAATAGATAAATCTCAGCTGGATGCAGTAAACCTTGAGAAAATCTACCGAGAAGTACAAATAATGAAAATGCTTGATCATCCTCACATAATCAAACTTTATCAGGTATGGCTTAGCCTTATTCTCTTTATGCTTTTCCACATTCAGGTGTCTGTTTTCATTGGAATTTTCACTTTTATGCTAGCTTTTCTAGTCTATAAAAGAAATGTTTTCTTAAGCTAAATGTTATCTCTTTCTATATGTTTCAATTTGTAAAAAATGGAACTAGGAAGCTACTTGGCAATTTAACCTTAAGTTGTCTTTTAGATTACCAGCTAACTATTTTAAAAATGGGCAGTTGCCCCTGAACTTGCTGGATTTGCAAAAGTGGTGGTACCATAAATAAGAATGTCATATTTTTGTTTATTTGAAAAGCTACTGTTATGTGTTATGAAATAAATACAAAGGCTAAAATAGTGTATTGCTTAGAGACAAACCGTGTAATATGTAGATTCATGTCTTTTTTATGAGTCATAAAAATAAGCCATTTTTAATTTGTTCTATTAGGAAATTTTATAAAGTAAACTGTGTATAAATTTAAGTCATGTTTTAAAAGGAATGTTTTCTTGGATTTTTTTAAAAGCAGTAATTCATATTTATTAATCAATAAACTATTTTTAAAAGTTTCTGTTAATGTACCATATCTTTACATTGAAAATGGCTTTTAATCTGAAAGGTCCCAATATGCTGACCTGTGACTTTGATGCCCTGTGACAGGTGTACCCATGGTATGCTGGACTTAATCTGTGTTAGTTTGTAAGATCACCTGATAAGTTTTCAGAAGTTTTGTGAACGGATAAATATCACATTAGTAGCTCAAACTCAGCACATGTTTATACATAGGAATGAAATTAAAACTCAGAGCCCTTTTCTCAGAGAGTCAGTTTGCTATCACACTACTGCACTCAGGTGGACTACTTAAATGTCCTTGGGATTGTAAGAAAATATTAAAACTTCTAGTTTTATTTATTATGTCCTTGAGTGCATTTTATACTGTGATACACATACATCATTTGTTCTCTATAGATAGATAGATAGATTTATACATATATGTGTATGTATACACTTGTAAACAATGTTATTGATTGAAAATTCCAACTTATAAAGTTGGAAACCATCAGCTTATGATAAGCCTTCTGTGCATGCAAGAATATGTATATGGTGCCACTCAAAATATTTCCTAAAATTCCAAAACTGTAGCGATCTAATCCAAATTTACCTCAGATTTTCCCCGTAAGCATTTGTTTTACGTTCTGTACTCCTTTGAGATGTACTCGTGAACCATGTTCTGAACTGATTCCCAGGGTTCACGTGGGACCGCCTGCTGTATTTGTCAAGTCGTTACTGTTTGATTTTTTTTAGTTCCAAATTGTCAGCAGCTCTTATTTACTTACTTGCCTTATTTGATGAGGCACAGTGCTAAGCCTGTATTTTAGTGCAAAATTAGCTTTCAGCCTTTCAGGAGACAACTATTAAAAGGATGTTAAAGGGCTAGAGACATAGCTCCTTTGATAAAATATTTGGCATGCAAGCTAGATGACCTCAGTTTGGTACCTAGAACTCACAAAAAACTGGGGACCTGAGTTTGATATCCAGAACCCAGGTAAAAATAGTGGTACACACTCAAAATCCCAGTGTAGTGAGGTGGAAACATGGATCCCTGGCACTTGCAGGGCCTCTGAGCCTAACCTAATCAGTGAGTTTAGCACAAAGAGAATCCCTGTCTCAAAAGACAAAGTGGATGGCTTCTGAGGAAAACCTGAAGCTGACCTCTGTCTTGCACACACTTGCACACATGTGCACACACACATGCATAAACATACACATGCACCCACACAAACATGCACATATACCATCACACACATACACACACACACACACACACACACACA